ATAATTTAACTTTTACAACACAAAATAAACATCATCTAATTAAATAATTTGTTTTTTTATTTCTTTATAATAACCAGGGCGTAAGTATTATATTATAATTTAACTTTTACAACACAAAATAAACATCATCTAATTAAATAATTTATTTTTTTTATTTCTTATGACAACCAGTTAGTAAGTATTATATAATTTAACTTTTACAACACAAAATAAACATCATCTAATTAAATAATTTGTTTTTTTATTCTTAGGAAGTAAGTATTATATTATAATTTAACTTTTACAACACAAAATAAACATCATCTAATTAGATAATTTGTTTTTTTTATTTTTAGTGTGTAAATATTATATTATAATTTAATTTTTACAACACAAAATAAACATCATCTAATTAAATAATTTGTTTTTTTTTTATTTCTTATGACAACCAGTTAGTAAGTATTATATAATTTAACTTTTACAGCACAAAATAAACATCACCTAATTAAATAATTTGTTTTTTTTATTCTTAGGAAGTAAGTATTATATTATAATTTAACTTTTACAACACAAAATAAACATCATCTAATTAAATAATTTGTTTTTTTTATTTCTTATGACAACCAGTTAGTAAGTATTATATAATTTAACTTTTAAAACACAAAATAAACATCATCAAATTAAATATTTTTTTTTTTTATTCTTAGGAAGTAAGTGTTATATTACAATTTAACTTTTACAACACAAAATAAACATCATCTAATTAAATAATTTATTTTTTTATTCTTAGGGAGTAAGTATTATATTATAATTTTATTTTTACAACATCATCTAATTTGTTTTTTTTTATTTCTTTATAATAACCAGGGTGTAAGTATTACATTATAAATTAGTTTTTTACAAAATAAACTTTATTAACATCATCTAATTAAATAAATTATTTTTTATTTCTTTATAACCAGATTGTGAGTATTATATTATAAATTAATTTTTATAACAACTAAATAAGCTTATTTTTTATTTCTTTATAATAACCAGCTGGTAAGTATTATATTGTATTATAAATCAACCTTTATAATTTTTATATCTAATTAATAAGTTTATTTATAATAACCAGCTGGTAAGTAGTATATTATAAATTAACACAAAAATAAATTTTATTAAACATCATCTAATTAATAAATCTTTTTTATAATAACCAGGGAGTAAGTATCATAGTATAAAATTAACTTTTACAACACAAAATAATTGTTATCAAAATATCAATTAGTTAATAAATTTATTTTTCTTTATAATAACCAGCATGTAAGTAACTTTTACAGCACATAATAAATTTTTACAACATCATCTAATTAAATATTTTTTATTTCTCATATTAACCAGCTGGTAATGATTATATTATATTATAAAATAACTTTTACAATACATTGTCAAATTAAATAAATTTATTTTTTGCAATTATAATAACAATTGAAGGTAAAATAATTTATAAATTTATCTTTTTTATAACTTTTAAATGAATATCTATTTTTATTATGTTGAAAATAATTCTATTTTATTTTTAATTTTTTATAATGAAATAATAAGATAATACTAGGGGGTTTAATGAAAGAAAAGAAGAATATGGAACCTGTTCTGTTTGTAAAAGATATAACACTAATTATCAGTGGTGTCAATCATGTGATCCCAAATTGTTAGCTCAAAGTTGGACTAGCAGTGGTAATGACAAATTAGATGAAATAATCAGAAATACACAGCTTGAAGCAGAAGGATTTGATAGTTATCATTACCTTGAATGGATTCCTTATGACCAACTCATAGTTGAAGAGGGAATAGGTGAAGGTGGTTTTGCAACTGTGTATAAGTGTTGCTGGTCAAATGGTCCTAGATATATTGAAGGGAATGAAAGATATTATTGTATTAATGGTATTGTAGCATTAAAAAAGGTTAAAAACTCTCAAAATATTTCTGATGAGTTTTTAAAGGAGGTAAATAATTTGATATAATTAATTGACAATTATTAATGATTTTTAAACAATATATTAATTTTTATAAAGCTTCAAAATCACATTAAATTTATAGGACCATATCATAATGGTATTGTTAATATTTATGGCATTTCACAAGATCCAAATACAAAAGAATATGCTTTTATAATGAGATATGCAGCTGAAGGAGATTTTAAAAAATATTTAAAATCAAATTATACAGGATGGAATGATAAAATTAAAAAACTTTATAATATTATCTCAGGTTTAAACACACTTCATCAAGAAA